GCCTATAATACCAGCTGTTACGGCTGTCAGGACCTCTGGCGCTGCCCAAGGCAGAGCGGGGCAGATGAGTTCCGTTAGCGGTCGGGTGAATGTTCGTCAGCGAGTGTCAACAAGAGCTTTATTACACTGACTTTTGTTTTGTTCTCCTTCGAATCCGGCGTCAGGGGTAAGATCGGATGGGCTAAAGCATTGCATGGGTTTCGCATCATTTATAAGATGTAGTCGCTATGGCATGGCACGCGTGACAGTCCCGAATGCATCGCAGATAACTGCGCGTGGTACGATAATTGTCTGACGTTGATGTAGGCGGTCGCTATGCGTCTGTGTTTCTAAAAAATAATTGGCTCACGCGATCATCACAGGTGGTTGCACATATTACGTTATCCTCCTAGTTGATGTTCTTACCGCTCAACTTCCACTTTTGTGTGGGTTACTGTGACATTTGGCTCGTCGAGAAGGACACCGGAAACAGTGGACATCCGGTGAATATCGAGCGGGAAGGTCATTGCGTTTGCTAATCTGCTGGATACCGAAAAACCATGACCCGAGCAGTTCACGGTTGTCACCCCTCGATACATAGTATGACAGTAGTTGCGCAAGCATATTAGCATTATCAGCTAATTTGCACGAAGGTCACCGTCCCTGCATTCACCTACCCTGTTATAACCTTGTGAGTGCCTGCGTCGACACTGGTTATATCCCACAGTTACGTGTTAGGAAAGGAAGACAGAACAGAATAGCAAATAATAGTTTACTGTCACTATTTCTGCTTGTACACCAGCTCTGTCTTCTGTGCGTCTGACAGCTTGTCCTGTGCCCGTCGGTCTCGGCAAACAGAGTCCCGTGTCTCCAGCAGCAAAATCTCGTGTCCCCAGCAGCAGAGTGTCGCCTCCTGTTGGTGGCAGCGTATTTAAGGACCAACGGCCTTTGTTCCCCATTGGTCCCTCTGCGAGTGGCCCGTGCCAGCAGCCATCGCGCGGTGGCCTCAGTGTGTGCGCGCATG